AAATATTACGATGATATAACAAATAATTTTCCAGGTGGAATATTTAAATATGTTCGTACAGTATCATTCTATGATGAACGCCCTTTTGAACATGAATTTTTCGTTAAAATTGCTCAATCATTTCCATTCATGGAAGAATTAACTGTACGTAATCAAAAACGACAAATTAATAAACGACTTAGAAATTCAAAAAATTTATCAATCATTAAATATCCTTATCTTAAAGAACTTTTTATTATTAATACTTGCATGGATTACTATGAACAATTCTTATTCGATACTAATACGTGTTTACCATTTGATGTTCGTGTTTATATGCAGTATGAACTAGTGAAGCAAGTAACACGTAATTTCACAAGAAATAGAACACGAAGTAATTGTGCGAAAATTAATTACGTAAATTTATGTAAAGAAATGAAATTCCCTGAATATTCTGACGAGTTTTCTGCTGGAAAAGAACCATTTCGTGAACATATAAAAGAATATTTTCCTCATACGCAAATAGATTGACTATTTTTAATTTTTTTTGTTTAAATAAAGCATGAACAAAAGCACTTGAGAAAAAAAACCAAAATGAAAATACAATTAACAAGCACTATTAGACATTGAAAGAAAATTCTGTATTTAAAAGGATTTAGATTTTATTGAAAACAACACAATGAACTTTTTCAATGTCAGTGAAATTTATCATTGAATTGATATCATCACCAAAAAACCAAAATTAAACTTCATGACAGTGTTTTTATTTTCTAATTAAAAATATAATCAAGTAGAAAATTAATCTCTTGGTCTATTTTCTCTATTACTTCAAATGCTGGTGTGACCTTGCGTCGCGTTTACCTTTATTAATTATTGTCAAAAAAGAAATTTCAGGTGATAGTGCCGAATTTTTATTTCGTCGATCAGATGCTATTCTTCAGAATTCAACTTTTAAAACGGCACTAGTACAATTCGTCGCATTTAAACGAGCCATACATTAGTTGAATTTAGTTTAGTATGTTATATAATTAATCACTCCTTAAAATGTTCTCCATTAGAATCTTCTGACTCTCTGT